AGAGCGAAAAATACGGTATGTTTTGAGAAAATGTAAGAACAGGCAAAATTTTCAGAGACTGTCTCCAATTTTTTTTGGGCGGGGGGCGGTGTTCTTCGTGGAGGAGAGAACATTTGAAGGCTGCAGAATAAGCACTTGCAATTAAAGAAAATGCAAAACAGCTGCATCCCTCAGGTGAATGGTGCTTTGCAACCACTTGAGCACTGGGGAAAAGGTGGCAGAGCCACCCTAGGGCACAGAAGCTACTCCCAATGAACTCACCGGGCCATGAATCATTCTCATTTAAGGATCACATGCCTGAGCGATGCTAAAAGCTGCTGAGCTAAGACTTGGCCTCTGCAGCCAGACTTTTGCTATAGGGCTGCTGCCACCGCCAGCCGTATTTAAACACACCCTTCTGTGCACAATGGCTGATGGCGAAAGGACACATTGCAGGTGCCTTGGAGCAACCTGAGAGAAGGGAACGAAATCGCAGCGGAGAGCAGCAGGACCAGCCTGTTCTGCATCTTGCAGAGTCATGCATTTGCATGTGAGGTTCCAGCAAGTCTCGCATCTTTGTGACAAAAGACGCTTCCTCCATTTGGGCTAACGAGACGAGAGACTGGGGACCCGAGCCTGAGTTCAATGCTGGTCTTTGAGACTCACGAAGCAGGACCAAACAGAAGGTAGACTGGGATATGTCTCAGTGGCTTGCAGAAGGTCAGTGGTGGGGAGCCTCTCCCACCCGTGGACCTAATTACCGTATTTTTCGTCCCATAGGATGCTCCGTCCCATAGGACGCACCTAGTTTTTTTTGGGGGGAAATAAAGGAAAAAATTTTCCCTTTATTTCCCCCCCAAAAGCAGGTCGGGGAAACCGAACCAGGTCGAGGAACAGCGGGATGGCGGCGCTGCGCCTCCCTGCTGTCCCCCGAGCTTGTGGGGCTGGCCGATGTCTGCCCGGCGGGCGGGGCGCTCTGCTTGAGGGCGCCCCGCTCGCCAGGCGGCAGGCTGCTATCCGCAGCGTGGGGAGCCCTGCGGGGAACTCCTGCAGGGCTCCCCACGCTGCGGATGTCTGTCCAGCGGGCGGGGCGCTCTGCTTCAGAGCGTTCTGCCTGCCGGGCGGCAGGCTGCTATCCGCAGCCTAGACAGCCCTGCAGGACCTCCCGCAGGGCTGCCTAGGCTGTGGGTGTCTTCCCGAAGCGCCGGGCGCTCTGCTTTCAGGGCGCCCGACGCTCCGGGAAGCAGGCTGCTATCCGCAGCCTAGACAGCCCTGCGGGACCTCCCGCAGGGCTGCCTAGGCTGCGGATGTCTTCCTGAAGCCTGGAGAGCGAGAGGGGTCGGTGCGCACCGACCCCTCTCGCTCTCCAAGCTTCAGCGAAAGCCTGCATTCGCCCCATAGGACGCACCCAGATTTCCCCTTCCGTTTTGGAGGGGGAAAATGCGTCCTATAGGGCGAAAAATACGGTAAGTCTGGCAGGGTCCTCATTAGGACTGTGAGGCTGTTTTATCCAAAGCACGTCCACTTGCCCCACACTTGAGGTCAGAGATTGCCCCCTACTCAGTCTCATCCGAGGTTCCTGCCTCCTCAGCCCCAGATCAAGCCTGATCCAAGGTCAATGGCAATAGTGCAATGGCAGGGCCTCCAAGTAATCCTCAGCTGAGACGTGCGTGACTTGCAGGTCCTGTTCTAGGCAGACATTTACATGGACATCCTTTTCCTCCCAGTAAACCCATATGATGGGTATCCTCATGGGGCAAGCTGAGTGCTTTGCCTGTAGATCTGAAGCTGTCATCTTTCCCTGGTAGTGATGGGAGCTGGGTTGGGGGAATCCAGCTGGGAGCCTAGACACCCAATGTGGAGGCCTCTGAGGATCATCTAGTCCAACCCCCTGGAATACAGGAATATGCAGCTGTTTCATATGAGGATCGAACCTTTCTGCAGGAAGGGAGCCTCTGATCAGGTGACGCACTCATGCATGATAACTTGCATTTTGCAGAGGTATGTTCCTGCTTGCTGGCTTGCTTGCTTCTATCCATGATCTCCCCTTTTTTACAGCAAACCGTTGGGGAGAAATGAGCTCCTGTTGAATGAATAAGTCAATAGGTGGAAGCAGAGAGTAGACAGGGAACTGGATGGCTGTAACCTAAGGTGGGCACCAGGTGGCAGCAGAGTGAAACAGGCAAGGAAGGACCAGCTAAACAAAGAAGATTGTGGCAGGAACATTTATAATCAGAGTGGTAGGGTTGGAAAGGACCAGCAAGGACTGCCTATTCCCCCCCCACCCCCCCACTGTTATGATGTTACAGATTGTGGTCATGGCAATAAATGACATACAATCACCACGGTGCATGCACAAACATAAAGGGTATACAGTGCTTTGCACAGAAAAATTTAAATGTGTACTTAAAATGCAACTGTTGCTCCACCTAATATCTGTGTGTGTGTCTTGAATTATTAAAACCATTGCATAAAACAATATTATAAAACCCTCCTGCAGATGTCTATAATCTCCCCTTGGAAACTTCGGATCTCATTTAGTTATGAAAATATTTGTACAGTGGACGCTCGGGTTGCGAACGCTATCTGTGCGGGATGCATGTTCACAACCCGCAGCGTTCGCAACCCGAAGTGGCGTGTCTGCGCACGCGTGGGTTGTGATTTGGCACTTCTGCGCATGAGCGACTGCCGAAACCTGGAAGTAACCAGTTCCAGTGCTTCCGGGTTTCGGCGGTCCGTAACCCGAAAAAACACAACCTGAAGCGGCTGTAACCTGAGGCATGACTGTATTCCACTATTCATTTAAGAAAATATGCAGCAGTTTACAACAATTATACATAAAACCATACAATAAAAACTGGATAAAAAGCCATATTTACAAATCAGCTGTTATGGAAAGATGTATTAAAAGTTGGCACAGAAGGTGCCTGTTGAATCTCTATTGGCAAGGAGTTCCACCAGACCGGACCGATGACACAAAAGGTTCAGTTTCTCTTTGTGGTCAATTGAGCCTCACCAACTTGGGGAAGGAAAGGAGATGCTCCTGCAGATGTCCTCCGTGATCGAGCTTAGATGTAAGGGTTCAAGTGATCACTAAGGTAGCCTGGACTTAAGCTGTTCAGAGCTTTGTAAATTAATGCAAGGACTTTGAATCTAGTTTCAATAGCAGATGCGAAGCCAGTGTAGATGCTTCAGATTTTCTGACGAGGCCCCACTCCTAATCCAAACTGATATCTGTGGACCCTTAAGGCTGTGCACACACTATATATTTAAAGCACATTCAGTGCACTTTCCGCTCTCAAAAGGATTCTGGGAACTGCAGTTCATTGAGGATTGCTGGGTATCGTAACTCTGAGCATGGTAAACTACAGGGCCTGGGATTCTTTGAGGGGAAGAATGTGCCAGGAATGTGGTAAAACAATCCATAAAACAATAACAATCAATACAATTAATTTTCATTTGGAAAAAATCCAGAATTCTTTCTCCTAGATATCATGTGAGAGGAAATAAATAAACAGTCAGACCAATATTTATGTATGTGACTATGGCGGAAAGGTTATTAATTGACAAAAATTGGAAAAGCAGCAGCGTCCCAACTAAAACAGACTGGCTATCTAAAATGATGGAATACTTTTATATTGCCGAATTAACAGGGAGGATAAGAGGAGATATGGTACAAAAAGTGAATAAGGAGTGCGCTATCTTTAAGGAATACATCAAAATCTATGTGGAAAAAGTAGAACCTTTGACAGATATTGAGTGAATCCAGAAAATGATTAGAGTGAAAGGAGAGTAAAATTAAGATAGAAGAGATTAAAGAAATTAATGAAATGCATTTAAGCTAATTGGAAAAATAAAATAACAAGAACGGCTGGAAGTCAAGTCACTTGGTGGGTGTCCATGTGGGGTAGGTGTGTAGGTATGCTGATATGTATAGTATAGGTAGGTATTATATAGAGTAATATAGGTATGTTTTATGCTATGAAAATAAGATAGTATGTTGTGTATATGTATTGTGTAAATGTAAATGTATGCGTTCTATATGTTAATTTTAAAAAAAGGAATGTGGTTTCCATGTACAGTCATACCTTGGGTTACAGATGCTTTGGGTTGCATGTTTTGGGTTGCGCACTGTGCCGAACCCAGAAGTACCAGAACAGGTTACTTCCGGGTTTCGGTGCTTGTGCATGTGCATAAACACTAAATCACACTTTGCGCACGCACAGAAGCACTGAATCACAACCCGCACCTGCGCAGACGCAACGCTGCGGGTTGCGAATGCTGCAGGTTGTGAATGTGCCTCCCACACGGATCATGTTCGCAACCCGAGCGTCCACTGTATAGTGTGCACACACAGCCCTTTTCTCACTTTCCCCAGGCAAGGCAGAAGCTCCCTGGCATGCAGGTCTCAGGTTCAGCCCTGAGGACCACCAGTTACAAAGAGTGATGTAGCGGCCTGAAATGGTGGAGTGCAGGTGCAGTTTTAGCATCAACGGGAAATAACCCTCGGAGGTTAGGTTGAAGGCTGCACAGAAAAGGAGGCTTAGAGCAGGAGTTTGAAGAGAACAGGAGGTGGGCAGGAAGGCTCTGGGCACGAGGAACAAAGGATGGATGTCCCCTCTGCTGGTTGGAGTTCATCACTCCATAAAGGAAAAGAAAGCTGTGACCTGTAGATAATCCAAGAGAGCCGGTATGTTTCTGAAGCACCAATTCCAAGAATCCCCTCTCTGCACAGACAAGGGTTATTGTCTCAGGATAATGACTTCTGTGTCAGGAAAGAAATTTATTAATCCCTGTGGACCCACTGTGTGGGTGAACAACTAAAGAATCAGCTATGTGCCTGGATTCGAAACAAAAGGCCTGCACACAAGAGAGCCCCCAGTAGGAAAAATATTAAACTCACAAAAGTGAAGCAGCACCGTGAAGCATTAGGAATATAGTTTGTTTGACCCTTCTTATCCCATTTACAATGCTCTCTTCTTTCTATCCCTTTTCCAAGGAACAAACCACACACTACTAAGCACTTTTAGAATGCTTTACTTACATATTCATATGCCTGATACATGTGTTGTTTCATGCAGCGGCAAGGAAAAGCACAAGCAGAACACTATTGGATATAAAGTACAGAATATAATTCCAAGCAGAAGGTAACTAAAACTATCAACAGAACTGTACGAAACAACCTTACATTTACAGAGCAAAATATCCTCTTGAATGATATACCTAGCACATGGAACCTTACAAAAGGACAATATGAGTGGTCTCTCCGTGCCCTGACCACAACAAAAAGACTGATCCTGATGAACTGGAAAAATGAAAATGCAGCTCCCTTCTACAATTGGATTGAAGACTTATACAAACTCTCAACATATGAACAACTTGCATATAAATGCAGACTCGCTATGGAGAAATTCAATGATATTTAGAATCCATTCTTACAAATATTATAATAGGTTAAGATCTGGTGAAGTACATTAACAACCTTATAAAGTACACAGTTTTGGGTTTCCCCTCCCCCCCTCATTTCCCCTTCTACACGGGTTCTGTTTCTCTTTCTCTCTCTTTTATTTACGTCTCAGTGTGTTTAGTGCACATATAATTATGTACTTTTTGAACTTTCGATAAAGATATTTTTTTTAAAAAAGCAAGTTTAGAATGTTTTACTTACATATTCATAGGCCTGATACATGTGTTGTTCCATGCAGCTGCGAGGGAAAGTATAGCAGAACACTCTTGGACAGAATGTACAGAATATAATTCCAAGCATGTGCTGTAAGCTTGGGAGCACTCACACCTGTCTGTCTCGTTACATGGTACACACACATACACAGAGAAAGGAAGTAGAAAGGCTTCACTTCCTCCCTCTCTATCTAGCAATATAACTCTGTAGTCCTTAGCATCTTCATGCACTAACTAGCAGATGTGCATATTGTAATCTGAACATTCACCTGGGCAAATGAGACAAAAGAACACTTCCACTGGGACAAGCTGTTCTCCTTTTAGTGCACAGCACAGGTAGAGTAAGCTTGGGGCCTCAGTGTGAAGGTGACTTCGGGGGTGAGGTCCAAATCTGAAACGGTCTTTCCAGGAGGAGGACAAAACGTAAACCTTTGGAGCAACCCAACAAAGAACAAGAAGATCTCCATCAAGGCCAGGCTTTCTCCGGGACAATTCCTACGGCCTGCAACAAACCAGTGGTTTGGACTTTCAATGAAAACGGCAAATAGAAGCAAGAGTCCAACAGTTTGCAATATTGTTTTTGTAAGTTCTTTTGCGGGGCGGGGCAGTGGTAGTCCGGATGATACCCATGGGTCAGTTCCAAACTTGGGAAGGAACCTGGTCAATCAGTCAACCTGGTTGCTTTGTTACTGTAGTGGTCTTAGTTGGCCAGTTAAGTGCCACCATTCACATGTCCTTTCACAAGAGGTTGTCACAGAGACAAATGAGTGGAGCTTTTCCCACATCACCTGGCTGGATGGCACTCTCATCCAAGGATGGAGAACGACAAGGCCAAGGCAGGGGAGGTGCTGTGTATGGGAGAGTTGTGAGTGTGTGTGACTTGGGCTGATGCTGGAAGCCAAAGAACGGAGGCCCATCTTGCTCTGTGCTGAATCCAAACCTGAGTTGGGGGAATCCCTGGACCCCTAAGGGGGAGGCAAGACTGGCTGGCGTGTTAATGCTGCAAGACCCTTCATCCATTGCTCAGGTTACGTGTAAATAAAACCATACGTCCTAAAGACACCACAGTCTCCATGGACTTTAGTTTCCAGGAAACTGAACCCTGGGAGACTAGGGTTGTGCACAACATTATCAATTATTTGGTGAGTGCATGCCCTGTCTTAACACTCCAAGGGAGTGTCGCTGGGACCCTGAGCTATTCGCAGTGACTGGAGCACTGATAATAAGAAGGTGCCCTAAGTCCTGGGGAGCCAAGAGGGGCTGTGATGTGGGAAGTGGCACAGACTCTGACACTGAGGCAGGACCTAGCAGCCTCCAGCTCCAAGCCAGGCAGGGAACCTTCAGAGGAACCACTGAGAGACTCTCGTTCTCCATCCCTGCCTGGCAACGCACACAGGTACCCTTAGCAGAGTGGCGATGCAGCCCAAAGCTGCAGGCAGTGGCGTAGCGTGGGTTGTCAGCACCCGGGGCAAGGCAAGTAATTTGCGCCCCCTAACCCGTGGATTTGCCCTAACCCCAGAAGTTGCGCCCGGTGCGGCCGGGCCCCCCTGCACCCCCCACGCTACGCCACTGGCTGCAGGTGTGCAGACTACCCCTTTAAAGACCTTGACAAGAGGGGACAGAGCTCTGGGTGGATAGCCAGGCCCAGGGGAGGATACGAGTGCAGGTCAACTCCACTGCCGTCCTTGGAGCTTTCTGAGGTTCAGCCACTCAGACCAAATCAGCCACTTGCTCTCCTAGCTAGCTGTGGTCCTGTTGGTCCTCAAGGGCTGTGTCTGGGGCCACAAGAAGCTGATCTCTCCCTGTGGCCTCATCTCATGCGCATAATAAAGTCAGGTCACATACATGGCACTCCCAGGTGGTCTCCACGTCTCATGCCTAGAACTTCCAAGAACTGACTCAGTGGAGGGGAATCTGCCTGTTGTGTAAGAACACCAACCCATGGCCCATCTGGTCCAGCAACCTGTTCTCGCAGCAGCCAACCAGATGCCCCAGCGGGAAGCCTGAGATCTGGATAGGAGCGCAACAGCGCTCTGCCCACCTGCGATTCCCAGCAATGGGTAGTCAGAGACACAAGGCCTCTGACAGGGGAGGCAGAACATAGCTATACCCTTGGAAGATAGGGTGGTCGTCATCAAGCACCTTCTTTGCCTGCAGGAAGAATTTGTGTTACCTATAGTAAAGGGCAGGAAGGCGTCCTTCTTCACAAAGTTCCCCTCGGCATCCAGAAAGTGGTTGGGGTTAAACTGGGTGGGGGTTTCCCACTGGGTCTTGTCATACAGCACGGAGGTGAGAGAGGGGATCACGGGTGTGCCCTGGGAGGCAAGCAGAGTTTACATTGTTAATTGGGGGGGGGGAATTGGAGGGAAGGCGTTCCATTGCCCACAGCTTTATTATTATTATTATTATTATTATTATTATTATTATTATTATTATTATTTATTCCATTTATAATCCCACCATTCTGCCAAACAGCTCAAGGTGACATACCTGGTTGTCTCTGTTTTATCAGCTTCAGCTGAGAAATAATGATTTCCTCAAGGCCTCTTATTGATCTTCAAGGCCAAGTGAGGATTTAAACTCTGGTCTCCCAGGTCTTATCCTGACACTCTAACCACTACTCCACACTGCCTCTCAAGTTCTCAAGGAAGGAAAAGTCACGGCAGGAACACAGGGAAGGCCTTAGACAACTTCCTTTTTCAGCCTGGATTCAGACATGCAGTTTATTGCATTCATTTTCCAGGTTATAATGCTAGCGCTTCTGTACCGAGTTCTAACAACCCTTTTACTCTGCGTTACGGAACTGGGCCTTTTTGACTGATATACTACCATGCTGCACTAAAGCTTAAATGTCGGGAAATTCCAATTACGTGAGATTCCAACACGAACAAGCACACCTCAGGATTTTCTGAGCTAATCGGGTTGCAACTGGATTTTCCCCCTGGACACCATTATTGTGGTAACTTAGTGCTAAGCTTCTGCTAGACCCCACTTTACATTGTGTGAATGATCACATGAAACATGGAAACTGACAGGTCAGGGAGGATCAGGAAAGAGGAACGTGCTGCCTGAACGCAGCCTCGGAGGTCAGCTTTGACGCCAGACGTCCTCTTTCAGACACGGCGCACTCCCAGCCTACCTTGCCCTGCCCTTGGCCGTGCCAGCAGGGCAAGCTTCCTACCTTGGGAATGAAGTAGCCGCGGAAGCAAGTGTCCACAGCGGTGCAGCGGGGAAACTGCTGGAGGATGCTGGCAAACCTCTGCACCTCGTGGACTATGGCGTTGTTGAAGGGCAGCTGCTTCCTGTCTTCACAGGTGGGCAGGCGTTCCAGCCCAATGACCCTTTCGATTTCCTCTCGTGCCTGCCCTGAAACGGGAGTTCTCTGACAGTTATTATAAAAAAAGAGGTGGAACCAAGGTATGAACGCAACAACTTAACGCAGGCTTTTATACTCGCATTAGCTACTTTATCACTCATTCACATAGTTTGGAGAGGCCCCCTTGGAGCTCTTTGCAATTTCTTTTTGGTTTAATGACCCTCAGCAATTTAGTATCGTCAGCAAACTTGGCCACTTCACAGATCCCCCCTAACTCTAGATCAGGGGTCAGCAAAGTTTTTGTGGCTTGGGCCGGTTCATGGTCCCACAGACGCCCCGGTGGGCCGGAGACTCTGTGTGTGTGTGCGAGCACATGCATGAGCAAACGCTATTTCCGGTGCTCCTTCTGGCGCGGAGGAGGCATGCGCAGCTTCCCATTGGCTGCAGGAGCTTCCCATTGGCTGCAGGAGTGGGCAGCAGGGGTCCATGGGCCAGTTAAACGACCCCCATGGGCCGTTTGTGGTCCATGGGCCTTAGGTTGCTGACCCCTGCTGTAGATAGTTCATGAACAAGTTAAAAACCACAGGTCCCAATACTGATCCTTGGGGGACTCCACTTTCCACATCTTCCCATTTATTCCTGCTCTTTGCTTCCTGCGATCTACTCAAACCGTGATCCACAATAGGGACTCTCCTTTTATCCATCCCTCCCAGTGCATCTTTGTCACGGCGATGAGAGTTTGGCTGGTTCATAGTAAAAATCAGAATGCAACGCTGTCCAGCTTTGAAACACAAAAGTATGGCTTACGTTGAATGTCGGGGTATTTCATCATCAGCAGGATAGCCCACTGCAGTGTGGTGCCTGTGGTCTCTGTCCCAGCTAGGACCAGGTCAAAGACAGCTGCCACAATGTTGGTGTCATGGAACAAGTTCCTGTCTTTGCTCCTTTCCTTGGAGTAAGAAGTGCAAGGTGCAAATGCTGTGGTTTATTTATATTTAAACAAAACAAAACAGCAGCAAGAAATTTGTATACTGACCTTCATCCAAAGATCCCTGGGCAGTTTCCAGCAGAAAAATACAAAATGAGAACATAATAAAACAAAAACAAACAAATAACACACACACACACACATACACACCGACACATTTAAAAAGCCACAGAATGTTAATCAGTCAAATTCCTAGTTGAAGAGAAATGTTTTTGCCTGGCACCTAAAGATATATAACAAAGATGCAGGCCTGCACTTTCATTATGTTACAGACAATGAATCAGTTCCTGGGGAGGGTCTCAGCAGTGCAGTCTCTCAGTGCTCTGCTGTGTTCCTTCCTCCATCTCCCTGGCTGCGCTGCCCCTGAGTCACATGCCGGCTTTGGTGCCAGCTGCTGCTGCGCTGAAGTTGTGTCTGCTCCATTCCCATATAACAGGAGGCATGTTTGTTTGTTGGATCAAGCTTGCTTAGCCTTCTCGGTAGTGGCGCCCTCCCTGTGCAATGCCCTCCTTTCAGATGTCAAGGAGATAAAGAATTGCACAACTTTTAGAAGACATCTGAAGGCAGCCCGGTATCGGGAGGTTTTTAATGCTTGATGTTTTATGTTTTTAGATATGCTGTAAACCGCCCAGATAGGTGGGGTATAAATTAAATTATTATTATTATTATTATTATTATTATTATTATTATTAGCCATGCACAGCACTTGCCTTGAATCTTACTTTGCCTACATATCATGCTGAAGGCAGCCCTGTTTAGGGAAGCTTTTAATGTTTGATGTATTATAGTATTTTAATATTTTTTTGGAAGCCGCCCAGAGTGGCTGGGAAAGCCCAGCCAGATGGGCGGGGTATAAAGAATAAATTAATATTATTATTATATTATTAAATATTATGGAACGAACCATGCTCCAAGCTTGAGTTTTTCATCCAGGGTGAGAGCCAGGACACAAAGCTCAGAGAGGCTAATTAGAAAATACTGTTATGAATTTGTGGGTGTTAGATACCCTAAATTTCTGGGTCTAGCAGGAGTTAGAATTTCATCAGGGCTTGGTGTTAAGACTAGGTGCCAGACCCGTATATATTAAGCCAGTGTGCATTAAGCTGTGTGCTAGACACTTCTACCCTTTAATTAAGCCAAGTGTTAAGAGCTGATTAAGCCAGGTTAACTTCCTCATGAGGTGATACCCTGGGTAATGAGCCATTAGGAAGAACAAAGGATCCAGGGACTCTGTCTGAGATGGCAAATAGAAGGGGCCCCTCTCTCCCTCAACATATACAGCCAGAGTTTAGAGAGAATTAGGGTTGCTATGATGTGAATGAGACAGAAAAAGGTGCCTCATTGCCAGAAGGAAACACGAACCCTGGGTAAGTGTGCCTGGAACCCTTGGAAACTTGCAATGTTCAGAGATTGGGGTGATGTGCAACAATATCACAACACAGTAAAACAGCAGAACCGATGAACCACAGAATGGCAAAATCTGCTTCTCAAGGCAAGGAATGGAAAATAAGCCAAAAGGCTATCTCCTAATAATAAGAATAATTTTTATTTATACCCCGCCCTCCCCAGCCAAGGCCGGGCTCAGGGTGGTTAACAAGCAATAATAAAAACAAGTTGAATGAATACAACTTAAAAACAAGATTAAAATACAACATTAAAATATTGAAACATTAAAATGTTAAAATGCAGCCTCATCACAGGAGGAGAAAGGAAAAAGGAAAAAGAAAGTGGGGGGGGGATGGAATCAAATTGGCTCCAAGCCAAAGGCCAGGTGGAACAACTCTGTCTTACCGGCCCTGCGGAAAGAAATCAGATCCCGCAGGGCCCTGGTCTCATGAGACACAGCATTCCACCAGGCCGGAGCCAGAGTTGAAAAGGCCCTGGCTCTGGTTGAGGCTAATCTAACTTCCTTAGGGCCCGGGACCACTAGGGTGGTCATCTTAGCTGATGAATTTGCTGCTAATATGCTTCCTTGACCAACAACTGCCCTGGGAAAATAAATACTGAATCTTCTCAACAAGCAAATAAACAATTTCTCATTTGTCACTCTAGCCATTCTCTCATTGGCCCACCGGCTAACCTTGGCAGGCTGTTCTGAGACTTACTCAGCATCACGGTTGTGATTGCCCACTTCTGTCCCTTTCCTTGAATTTTGTACCACTTTCAAACTCAGCTCATGCACTGTTTAGGGACATGATTTATCCTCTGCACATAACTTACTGGGGAACAGACATGCAGATACACACAAACACCCCACCAAGCGCCAAATAAGCACTGGAAAAGTTGGCCTTATATCTAGATAGATGATAGATAGATAGATAGATAGATAGATAGATAGATAGATAGATAGATAGATATACCTCTGACTGTTGCTTGGTTAGCATATAGTCGTAGTAGTTTTGTAAGAGGTTCTCATTGATACTCTTCTTGCCCGCTGCAAGGTATTCCCTCAGAATGACACGGGTCTTTTCCATTGTGTCCAAGATCATCTTGTGGGGTTTTAAAAGGAATCCAAGGAACGGGTAGACATTATATACCTAGAGAAGAACCCAAAAAGAGAAGTAAATGAAAAGTCAAGTAAAGATTGCATGCAAGAAAGATGTGACAGTAATTCTGTGCCAGATAGTGTGCTCTTGCACAACTCCCATTTCTTCCCGTTGGGTTTGTGCAAGGGGCCTTTGAGTCATCTTGGTGGCATTCCTGAAAGTGGCATGCTATGCGATAGAGACTGAATTAGGGGAATCGTTTGAAAGGCTATGGGAATGCCTCATTGGAATCTGACATTTTGCAGAGATAGCGTGAGCTTAGCACCACAGATTTGCCTTCTGTCCTCCATCCCTTTCCCAGTGACCCAAAGCATTTTAGTGTCCCTTGAAGGGAGGGATAGGGCAGGGCAAGTGGGGGGGGGGGGAGAATGGTGAGGAGAACCCACACAAAGACTTTCAGATTTGGGGCTTGAAAGGTTATTGATGGGTGGAGCAACAGTGGCTTAATCCCAGCCTAAAAAGGCTTCGCTCCGTTTACATGTGGTTTTAATTTAAACACCAGCTACGCACTGTGCAACAGGATCTGCGTGGGAGGGCTGCGAAGACTTCCAGGACAAACTGATGTTTGTAGATGGGTTGGCGGGAACCTACAGGCTAGGCCCCCGCTCAGTAAGGAGAGCGGGGAGAGAGAGATGACGGGAGCCCAAACTCATTTTGGCTTCAAATAAAAACATTTCTTTCCAGCCTGACTCAAGGACAGTTCCAGTTTTCCACTTGGAGGGTAAAGCCAGCTTTGTACAGCTGCTCTGCAGGGGGCACTGTGGTCTAAACTACTAAGCGTTTTGGGCTTGCTGATCGTAAGGTTGGCAGTTCGAATCCCCGTGACAGTGTGAGCTCCGTTGCTCTGTCCCAGCTCCTGCCAACCTAGCAGTTCGAAAGTACGCCAGCGCAAGTAGATAAATAGGTATCGCTGCGGCAGGAAGGTAAACAGCATTTGCACGCACACTGGCACTCAGCACATTGTTCCATGCACCAGAAGCAGTTTATTCATGCTTGCTTTAATGCTATTTGAATTTCATTACTTTTTAATGGTTGTCTTTTAAATGTCATTAGCTTTTTGTATTTTATCGGTGATCTTTTAATTTGGTTGTAAGCCACCTTAAGTCCCAGTCTGGGGGAAAGGCAGGATGTCAACATATATAATAATAAAAGTTGTTGGTATCTAAGTGCCCATCACATCGTTGCTTTGCCTGTGGTGTGTTTAAAAAGCACACTTGGTTGTGGTTTTACTGCTACAAAATGATTAGTGTATACAGTGGTAGCCCGGGTTACATACGCTTCAGGTTAAATACGCTACAGACTCCGCTAACCCAGAAATATTATCTCAGGTTAAGAACTTTGCTTCAGGATGAGAACAGAAATCATGCTCCGGCGGCATGGCAGCAGCAGCAGGCCCCATTAGCTAAAGTGGTGCTTCAGGTTAAGAACAGTTTCAGGTTAAGAACGGACCTCCGGAACGAATTAAGTACTTAACCTGAGGTACCACTGTACCTGACAAATCTCCGGGATTCTAGACTGCATCAAACTAGTTTTTAAGGCACGGCACCCTTTTCCACTGGCCAGCATGTGGAGTTTCTAAAATCACCAACCAAGTCTGGATTATTTTTGCAATGGAAGATGCAGGGAGGATTGCCTACCTGCAGCTGTGGTTCTCCCAGGAGGACCACCACGTCATCAACGTGTTTTAACAGAGTGAGAAAAGTCTCGTCGTCATAGTCAAACCTGTCTCCAAACACTATGCCATAGGCGACGTTTGTTGTAGCTAAAGTTAATGTCTTCAGCGGAAAGGCTTCATCTTTAAAACATAAAAGAAGAAGAAAAGAATGGAGAATGAACACAGGAGCACTTGTCAGATGGCAGGCATAGAAAAGGAGCAATAAAAATGGAAAAAATGCATCACCTTTAAAAGACTTGATCAGCTCAACCAGGAACTGCAGCTCTTCCTGAATCTTTCCTTCTATCCGTTTTTTGCCCATCCCGAGATCCCGCAAGCTCGCCAAGGTGTATCGACGTGTGGCTTTCCAAAGTTCCCCATCAGAGAAAATTACACCTGAGGAACACAACCCAGAAAACACAAGGATGACGTTTTCTTCCCCAAGAAGCTGTGTGGACTGGGATCCCAACCCACCTGTCTGGAAACTTTCTTACCTCTGGCTCTAGAACATGTGGGGAGGGGGAAGTTGGACGTATGGCATATCCTGCAGGACCCCTGGAAGCTCCCACTCTGGAAAAGACCCTTCTCAGCCAGGCTGCAGGTGCCACTGCCTAGTTGCCACGGCCTAGTTGACCTTCCACACTCATCCCTCAGCAGCAGGCGCAGTACCAAGCCTAAGCTGAACCGCAGATCAGCAGCAGCCCCGACATACACCTAGCAGCAGCACTGGATGGTGCCCAATGAGACTAGTAGGGTGGAGGACAGCAGAGGTGGTTTTAGGGTAGAGTGACTGGTACAGCCGCACTGGGCACCACAACAAAGCTGTAGAACAGAGTGCAAGAGGCAGGGGTCACTGAATTTTAGTGTCGCACAGGGCGCTGCTGAAATGTGAGAGCCCCAAGTCTGACCCTGAAGGCAGGGAGGCTAACAGTAGGTGGCACCAGAGCTGATGACTGGAAGAGCCATCTAATTCAAGTTTTGCCCCCATCTTCCTCCCTGCTGAGTTCTGTAAGGGCAACACCGAGACTGAAGAGGAGAAGGAGAAAGATGACAGGCAGTGACACCTCCTGGGCTGGATGTAAGCGGAGGCTGGCTGAGGTTGGTAGGGCAGTGCCCCATCTTCCCAAATGGACCAGCCTCCACTGCCCAGCAGCACAAAGCCTTTTGTCAGAGAAAAAAATACTCAGGAGCAGGAAGCAATAACTGAGGCATGCTCTTCATCAAGTACTACCAAGGCACCAGGAAGGGCCACAGAAGCAGTAAGACTGATGCATTGTCTCTTTCTACCCAGCTCCTTCTGCTCTGCTGCAGCCTTTGCCAATATGGTGATCTTTTAGAGGTTTTGGACTACATCTCCCATCAGCCCGAGCCAATACACCCACAAGCAAGCCAGGAAGGTATGCTGCTGGGTAAGCAGGAAAATGAAATCTCCGTATGCAAGGTTGAACCAGAAACATCCTTTTTGTTAGGTTAGAGGGGAGTTGTTGCTTTTAAGAAAAAAATGTATTGTTTGAGGGTATTAACAAACGAAAGACACAAAGCAGAATTTTGGGGGGGGTTATCCAATCCAGGTAAAGGTAAAGGGACCCCTGACCATTAGGTCCAGTCGTGGCCGACTCTGGGGTTGCGGCGCTCATGTCGCTTTACTGGCCGAGGGAGCCGGCGCACAGCTTCCGGGTCATGTGGCCAGCATGACTAAGCCGCTTCTGGCAAACCAGAGCAGCGCACGGAAACACCGTTTGCCTTCCCGCCGGAGAGGTACCTATTTATCTACTTGCACTTTTGTGCTTTCGGACTGCTAGGTTGGCAGGAGCAGGGACCGAGCAACAGGAGCTCACCCTGTCGCGGGGATCTGAACCGCCGACCTTCTGATCGGCAAATCCTAGGCTCCGTGGTTTAACCCACAACGCCACCTGTGTATCCAATCCAAGTAATATATAAATTAGTTCTGTGGGGGCTTAAGTGATCAGAACATGAAGACCTAAGCAGGGTCTTGCTGGATGAGATCGAAGGATCCATCTAGTCCAGCAAGTGGCTTTCTAGAGGGTCCCATCAGATGCTCCTGGGAACAAGCAGGCAAGTGTGTGTGTGTGTGTGTGTGTGTGTGTGTGTGTATAAATATACACACATGCGCACAGACCCACAACTCTTTCACACACAAACACATGCAAGGCATCTCCCTTGCTCTCTCACACACACTCATGTACACATCTGGGAAAGCAAGTGAGTTAATCGGAAAGGGAGAAGACCCTCTTGTTCCCCACTCTCCGCCCCTCTCTCCACTTGGCTTCTTCTTCCTTCACCCCACCCCCACAAATGCTAGCAAAGTAGAACATGTCTGGAGAGAAAATTCCACATGTGAGGTTTGGCTGCAGGGAAGACCTTATCCCAAGTAGCCAGCTACCTCACACTGGAATGCACAGACGCATGGAGCAGGGCTTTGGCAAAGGATCTGAAAAATTAGGCAGGTTTCGGTAGTCCTTCAGATATGGGACATGAGTTGCATATACGCCATACATTCAAAGCACATTTCCACCACCCATAAAGAATCCTGGGAAATGTAGCTCTTTATGGGTGCTGGGAATTGCAGCTCTGTGGGGGCCAACTCTGTGATGTTGTTGTTTAGTCGTTTAGTCGTGTCCGCCTCTTTGTGACCCACTGGACCAGAGCACGCCAGGCACTCCTGTCTTCCACTGCCTCCTGCAGTTTGGCCAAACTCATGTTAGTAGCTTCGAGAACACTGTCCAACCATCTCGTCCTCTGTGGTCCCCTTCTCCTTGTGCCCTCCATCTTTCCCAACATCTGGGTCTTTTTCCAGGGAGTCTTCTCTTCCATGAGGTGGCCAAAGTATTGGAGCCTCAGCTTCAGGATCTGTCCTTCCAGTGAGCACTCAGGGCTGATTTTCTTAAGAATTGACATGTTTGATCTTCTTGCAGTCCATGGGACTCTCAAGAGTCTCCTCCAGCACCATAATTCAAAAGCATAATTCAAACTCTGTGATACAACTAGTTAAAAGTAACAGACACAAGTTCTCACCTTTATCAGCACCCAAATTCTAGTGCTTCTCCCTGCCTTCCTTCAGCTGGCCTTGCAGCCCCTTTTAGGAACAATATGCATCAGAAAGTATTATTCCCATGTTGCTCTTACCGTGTCCATTCTGCATCTGCCGGAATATTGGGAGTGGAGGCCTGTTTATGAATTCATTGC